TATGGCCCTCAGCAGAGCAGACAGTGTTTTCTATGTGAGGTTGTAGAGCTGCTGGACTACCAATACAGGAATCTGTTTGTTACCCAAATCAAGCAAAGTCTGAGAACTAACCAGACCATGCAGCCGGAAATAACAGCATACTGTATGGCCAAAGAAATTAAACATCTACTTTAAGATACTGTGACTGTCTCTACGTCTCAGAATGGAATTTGTCGACAGAAATAAACAGGGACAAGTAAATAGGGCAAGTCTAAATGTGTACTGGAACTAAAGGGATTAAATGTACTGTACTATGTGGCTAATGGTCTACATATTTAGTGCACAACTAAATGTAGTGAGCATTAAATGTGGGCTGAACGACAACACTTCTGCTCTGCAATAAAAAGGGTAGTCTACTGTGTAAGTATGGGCTATTTCAACTAGAGTCAGGCTACCATATTTAGTAGCCATACCTCGTATTTGTCTGGTCGCGTCCAAGAAGCCTAGAGAGGACAAACACAGAGGAAGCAAAGACAAACAGCAACACAGTGGAGCAAAGTAAGCTTTTGTAAACGATCCAGACTGGAGAGCAGGAGTGCATACTGGATTCACCTGCAGGAGATGTGCAATGATTTCATGTTTGAAGGACCATACCGGTGATTTTAAATGTTTTAGCTTCTTGGCTACAAATTCGTACATTGCTGCCAATCATTTTCCAGGACATACCAGAGTGCATTTTTCTACCTTCCAGGTAGTTTTTGATTTACATCCATTTGCAATTTGCTAGGGAAATGCACTTGCAGTGACTTTGAAATTGGGCAGAGAGTTAGCTAATCCATCACAGTAGACTTTGAGTCTGGTTTGGTATTGTATTGCTTATGCTAAAGTAAATCTACCATGCAATAGTAATGTTACTTTGATCAAAACTAATGCAGACATAATGCTTACTGTGATAGATTACCCAACTCAGGTTTCAAGTGTGTGCAATGATTTTGATACCCTAGTAAAATAAATTGAAACCAATGCTTGCCTGAAAGGTAGGACAACACATTCTACACATCTACAACACTGCAACGTGCTTTGAAAAGTGAAGCAGCAACATACACATGATTTATAATCAAGGGATTAGAACATGTATAAACACTGGTAATGTTATTAAAAAACAAAAATGCTCACAAAATTGGTAAAAACATTGAATATTATAGGAATTTACATCAGATGATTTTTCTACCAAATTGTATTTATTACAATTGCCTTAAATTATACTACTAATTTCCAATATTCAAATCAGAACATAAGCAATATCAAAAGTTCAAGGTTCTGAAAAGGACTATTGTGATGAGGTCAGGATTTCTGGCTTGGCAGTTTAACTGCTTTCAGACAATATGCAGAAATGGTCAAAATGCCAAACTGGAGCGTATTTTCCTAAAGCAGCATGGGGGCTTCTCAGTCTGTTATTAATTAATGTACTGTAATAAGAGAGAATTTGGAGGCATACTAAGGAAAACAGGGCACTGGAACTAATTATGAGTGGGCCATTACCGGTATCTAGGGACTTTGTTTTTCTAATCAGCGGCTTTCTCATCATGGCATTCTATGTCTTGATTAACTCATTCATTTATGTACAGAACACTGCCGTGCACCGCTTATCTTCTGTTCATAACAAGGACATACAGATCATTCTAATCTTATGGTGTGAAAAAAGAGATATCAAGAGATACAATGATAAAATCCCCTATACTTTTTTCAAGTGAAATCACTGAAGTTCAAAAGAGGCAGTAGCAGCTGGCAAAATGGCTGTTCTGTCATTTCACATCATTATGAGTATGTCTATGCTGTTGTAGCCTGGCTGCTATGATGTAGAATTAGAACATGAATGGAGGACAGAGCATGGCAAACAGGAAACATTCCAATGATGAATGATGATCCAATGAAAATTTGTGACAGCAATTACCAAATGGTCAGCGGGACTTTCTGGTTACAGCAGCATTTAATCAAAATTGATCTGACAGTGATAGATAGGAAAGAGAGGGATGATGATAAGCAGTGAATGGAAGAAGATACTCTGTGACAACTGTGAGTGGCGGTGGGCAAGTATTGCCTTGCAGGTGGAAGATAAGATTCAGTACAGTAACTCGCAAAACACCCATGAATGCACTGTGCAGTGTGAACATTTTGGCGGTGATAAATGGCAAGAGTTAATAGGAAAAACCAGGGAAACCTTAGCTGAATCAACTTCTCGTCTGATAATCCTCCAGCACAAATGAGGAAAGAAGAGTCAAACATTCAGCTAGCATTGGATAGAAAAAAAACATCCTATTGATGATTTACTTATTTAATTGTAAGTTATACAATTGGAAAGTTTGTTCAAAGTTTGTGGCGTTAAAAGAAAAGCCATGAGGTCATTCAAATCAAAAGTGTATTTTTAATGTGAGTATGAATCTAGCATAGCAGAGATACCTTCAGCACACTACTGACTGACATACTACCGACATTCTATGTAATTCTGTGTTTGCCATGGAAATGCCATTATGTTTTCTTTTTCCTGGCATGAAATTGAGGAGGAGACATGCCACCAGCAGAAACACCTTTTGCATAAATTTCTACTTTTGGCACAACATCCAGATGCACAGCTCAGGTAAAAGTAATTCCTTCTCATGTAAGAAATCCCTGATTTCATCCATCCTTGCTCAAAGTGGTGTTGTGCAATTCCAGTTCCAATTTTTTTGTAACTCACATCATTTGACGAATTTCATAATGACTAATGTGATTTAGTGGCTTTTGCTGTTTTATATGCTTTTATATTTTATTAATACCTATGAATCATAGATCTTTTGCTGAGCTAAGTAGTTTCCATGGCCTGGTATTGTGTACAGTATATATGACACATTAAGATCTATAACTTCCTTGGGCAAAATGCCTGTGATGAAAGCTTGCTTGATGATCCCAATAAATAATTGTAAACTGAGGCCCGGTATATTTTTGGTGATTTTGGAATGTCACTTTACTAGTTGATGAATGACTTACAACCGCTGCTACTCTTCGCTTCCATAGAATTTGGTGTAAATCTGCGTAATTGGTTTCTGGCCACGAAACACAAGCAAATTTGCACTGTTCTTCCCATGAGGAATCTAAACGCAAAAGAGGCTAAACCTTTCAGAGGTTCTGGTTATAGCAGATGGTGGATTGAGTGAAAGCGAATTACTTAAATTAAAAAATATAGTTAATAAAATTTCACAGTGATATTTGATGATAAAAAATGCTCTACATAGCAGCTTTAAGACATAATTCATCACACAACTCTAGCTGAATATAGCTGGACAGAGCTGTGAAGTAAAGTAGGCCAGTATGGCCCAAATATTGTGTAACTGAGTCCTTTGGGATGTAACAGGACAGGTGTTTTCACTGCATTTACTGTGTCTCTCTGAGAATAGCACACCTATTGTTACATGCATATAATTTGTAACATTCACAAAACAATGATGTTTGATCATGTAGCAAGGGGTTCCCGCATACCACTTATTCATCAACAATTTCATTGTAAGAGAGAATCCTTGAGAACACACAAGAGAAAACATGCTTTTTCTTGTACTGCTGAATGCTAAAAGGTGATGACTTCTCATATAATGACCTAGTTTAATCAGAAATCTGTATATTGCATGTGACAGGGAGTTATTAAAAATAAAGCACAGACTGTAACATATTCAAGAATAGCCTGTGATAGTATTATTATCCAGCTTTTTTTTTTTTACCAAATCATATAATTTCTTTGTGGCCCCAAAGCAAATTTTCAAAGGCCCTGTACCAGTCCATTACCCAGGCGATAGGAACCTCTTCAAGGGAACTGTACTTCCATTATTAACATTAGTAATATGAAGGTGATTATCATTGTTGCAGTATCTAATGCAAGCTGAAGCACTACCCAACATAGGAGGTGTTCTTCCTGAATCCACAAACCTGCTAGAAGGAGAAAGGTAATTATCTTAATACTGTTTACTGCATCCACAGCAGAAAATTACCCCTCTGAAGTGACTAATCTGTCTACTGCTCACATGATGCATGTTGTCAGAATAGACCGCTAAGATGGATTTTTCAAAATTATACCATTTTAATGAGTTGATAAGAGTATAACAATAGACTTAGGATGAGAGTCTCCCTTCAGGCTGGCAACTGCCAACGCGTTGTGACCACTGTGATGCAGAAAATGCACAAGGATGGTATTCATAGCTCACACGTCTTAAGAAGCCTTTTACCATGTTCTATAGCAAAGCTTCAATTCAGTGTTATCTCCAGTACTCCTGAAGGACGTAAAAGAGAAAAATGAGGACATGCACCAAAGCATGACAAAGATAGATAAACCTTATGTGGCATTACGTGCAAAGATTTATTTTTCCTTATATCATGTTCATCATGACAAAAAGTGCCCACTCATTTCCAAAGTGGATAATCACAGCAGTTTGCCAAAGGAGCATAACTGAGATCTAAAACAATCAGATTTTAAGGTAGAGGGGGCTTCTGGATTTTAACACAGAAATAATTTTCAATCTAATTCTCCCTTAATTTTCTGTAAATTTCCAATGAGCACTTTTCATAGTAATTTTACAAAAATATTCCTTTTTAAATGCTAATAATTAATAGGGAGTGAAGTAGAGTGTTACATATACTCTTAACTTTGGGGAATATCATACCATGGCACTGCCTAGAAATTGGTTTTATGGCAATCTGCACACTATCCCCTCTAGCATTCATGATGGAAATGTACAAAATCATCAGTGCAATTCCAGCAGTATTGGAGAAGGCTGCCAAAAGTTAAGAGAGATGGCAAGATCCAAACTTCACTGTACAAAGAGCAAATTCGTGAGACAATACAGGATTCAATTCAAGTTTTGAGTGTATGATGCACACCAAGCAGTTTGAGCTGATAAGCCAACTGATTGGCTATTAATGGTTTAAGTTTTTTTCAAGACAATAAACTAAATTGCTGGCATTGTCCATCTTTGCAAGGAAGACAAAATCAGTACCTGCTCTCCTTCAGTGAATACCCTTTTTTCAAAACTCCAAGAGATGGTGGGTGTGGGATCGCCTGAGGCCTCACAGGTGAGGGTGACTTGCTCATCAAACTCTGAGGCAGTCTGGTTATTCAGGTAGGTAATCTTGGGTTGCACTAGAAACAAGACAAAAATGTGTAATTAAAAATGACTTCCTAAAAGCTGTTCCACTGATCAAGACACTGCAGAAATGTCCACGTAAGGGGTTTTGTAGTTGCAGCCTACTACTGGTATATGTTAGCAATGTTGTCCCTTGAAGTTGTTTCATCCTCCTTTTAAAATTATCTTCATTTAATGTTTTTAGTCACTTTGTTGTTTAGCTGCTAGATGTTCAGCTTACTTAAAAACAACAAGTGGGTTTATCAGAACTTTGTTGCTGGACAAAATGTTGCCTGCTGCAGTAAAAGAAATAACCTAAAAAACTCAGCAGCAGAGCTGCTGCAGAGTTGGCTGATAATTCAGTGTTAATTAAGTGTTTTTCCATCACCATAAGAAACATCTTTAACATTGCATTTGATCCATTGTTAAACAATATGTATTAGTGAAATTTAAATAGCTGTTGCATATTATTATATAGCATTATTGTAGTTAAGAATATAGACAGGCTTCATTAGCATTGTGGTTTCATACTCCATTGACCTATAATAGAGCTGCAAGCACAATGTTACATAAGGTTGTTGCACATTTTCTCATGAGGGGAAACTCTAGTGTGATATCTTTCAAAGTCTTAGGGGGTGACTTAATTAGTTTTCAATAGGACATGCTTCTCTTTAAACTGTATGCGTCACACTCTGTAACCCTGCACCCACCCACTGGACAAGATGTAGAGAAGTGTATAGCAAATGTCAATACATACAAATGGCCAGAGAGAGAAAAAGAGCCACAGTGTTCTTTATGCCATCGCAAGCGAATGGAGTTATTCTCTTACCAAACACGTTCAGGCTGACTTCCTCGGCTTTCTCTCCTGCCTTGTTCTTGGCAATGCAAGTGTAATCTCCTTCATCCACTTTCTTGACATCTTTTATTATCAATTCTGAACCATCCTCGTTCAGGCTGTACTTATCACCCGTTTCAAGGACGATGTTGTTACTGTAACAGAGGGAAAAAGAGGAAGAAGACATGGCAGGGTTCACATCACAAATGTTTGCTTACACTTCTTGAGGGGCCTACGAATATCTCTCACAGACAATGGTCTGTTTGGGGTTTTTATCTCAGAAATAGAACAGCGTGTATACAACAAAGGCTGGGAGACCAAAAAGCTGTCCTGTGATGTATGCCTCGCCAACATTTTCACAGCTTTTGTTTGCCTCAGCTCTCCTTTGGCCCTCACATCTGTGTTTTAAGAAGGTCATGCACCAATTTGTTGATGATGCATGTTTAAGGATTTGAGAAAAACATCTTTTGCTCCTGAGAAGTCTACGTCTTCACTAGAGGTTAGAATTATGTTTGTGAAGAATTAAGGATTTGTGTGCCTGGAGAAGCAGCGTTCTTGAAGTATTTTGAAGACAGACAGTGAATGACAAACAACAAATAGAGCTTTACCCCTCTATTTTTTACTGCCTCACCCATCAGTCCTCCTTGCAATCTCACTGTACAGTATGTCTCAACCTTCTTCTAGTCAGAAACTGCATCTGCCTTAATACCCACATCACATACCAGTTTTGCTGCATGGAAGACAGCTGTGGGCCACATTAGAGTGTTCAACAGTCTTATTCACTCACATCTCTGCAAAAAAGCCTTATTCAAAGATTCCTCTGCACAGCGGTGGTGCTGCTGTGTGACAGCCGTAAATGATGGACCATAAATATAAAAGTACATTGAGGAAACCGCTGTATGAAGAGAAATGACGGTTGGTTATTTGTACTTGTCAAAAGTGAGTGGTGATCAAGCATTATTCATTGTGAATTAAGTTACTTGACATTTACTATACCAGCTAATGGTAAATCCATTACTAGGTTTGTGTGTAAAGTCATTATTAATTTCCTAGAAAGAACTAGTTACTTTTAAGCTAGAAAGCTTATCGAGTCACATTACTATCACTAGTCAGAATCTTTCAAGCTTAATAATTTAACAGTTTTCAATCAAGACCTTTAGTGTTTAGGGCAAGTAGCTTGTGAAAATACTATCCTCCCCTGAAAAAAAATGCATCAATCATATGTTTGAATGCCTAAACTATGTTCCGTCTGTTGGGAACAAAAGTGGAAGCGGTGTGACATTGGTGAAGAGCCTCAAAACCTCAAACTGAGGTCAGCATGGGTGGATGGATCAGCACAGTGTGCGATTTTGACAATGGTGACTGGTAGTGACAAACCATGTCATCTTGTCGGTGCTATAACAGAAAACACTAGTATGGGTTCGTTTTTAAAGGCAATAAGATTTGAGTTTGGAGATGAGGTTGGAAAGATAAGGTGTGCAAAATAATGTATGCAATTTAAATAGCATGTGCAGAATGAAAACCTGCCTTACCAATACTCATAAAAGCCTTTTTTGACTTGTTACAGTCATGCAAATATAAAAAGATGTAAATTTCATAATTTCTCCCCAGTTATTTGTAGGAAGGCTATGCAAATTCATATGCATCCCCTACTATTTACAAACACCTTTCAACACGTACTCCCTGAAATGTACAGTATGTTGTGCATATACAATCCTTTCAAATAGAGCACTAACACTTTTTCAGCATCACTTGCAAGGAAGAGAATTTACTTTTTGTAAAACAGTGCATCTTTGCGCTTAGGTGTCTGGTCACTACATGCAGTGTGATATCCTTGGTGTGTTTGCACATTGTCATTGTGTCCAGCAGCTGGAGACAGAGGGCAGAGAAATCCTGACAACATCCCCAAAAAACTGTCCATCTGATTAATACATAGCACTCTCATCATGTTGTGATACGGGTTATAGAGCGCAGCCAGTTACTGAAGGGCACAGTGTCACCCTTAGAGAAGTGTCACTGATACAGCTACACCCGTCCTGCACAAATGATAAAACTGAACTCTTACTTGATTAGGAAGGTTTGTATCAACTGCAGCTTTTACAACATTTCCTTGAACTACTAAGGAAAGAACTTCAGGGTGACAATCCTTTATGAAAGGACACAGTACTATGCACCAATCCTTGCTCTGGCAATAGAAAAAACATAACATGCGCATTCTTGCCACAAGAATGAACTAAAACATTACTGCTGAATGATAAAAAAAATAAAATAAAAAAAATCAATAACTGCAGCCGTGTTGCTTGTTTAAAAAAAACATTTATAAATATTTTTATTTCTTACCCTTCTGAGACAAATTACTGACATGTTCTTAGAGTTCTAACAGTACAAGTCTAACCAGAATTGATATATAAGATGTTGAGCTAAAGTGTCTGTTTTTGTGCATTTATCATTTTGTCTTACATTGCTCTACTTCATCTTCATACAACTTTATCTGATCAAGCCATTTTTACCTGTTTGGCAGATTACCTCTGAGAAAATAAGTGTCTTGTTAAAATCTATTGTACTGCCTTGATGTATGCTTTCAGTATTTTTGGCTACCTTGTCTTTGAAGTTATTGGTGAGGTGACACAAGAAACTTCACTCAGCACTGTGTATGTCTCTTTCCAATTCATTCTTCACATCTTTGCTTTGAAAAAGAGGTTATAGGTAAATAAACAAAAGGTTTAATTTTTGTGATAGCTCAGATTTAACCCTGATGTTATGTTATGATCCTACTAATCAAAATAGGACAGTGACAGCAGTGTGTGACTTACTGCGCCCAGGTGACAGTGGGCTCAGGAAAGCCGTCTGCATCACAGGCCAATAAAGCAGAGCTACGGATGTCTGCTGTAGCGTTGACATCTGACTGCCTGGCACGGATGGTGGGCAGCACTGAAAAAGAGATGACAATATACAAGATAAATAATGGTATCTAGATACTCAGAATGATGAATAAATCCCTGTTTTGCTACTGTCTATCATTATTGATATACAGTATGACAGTAATGATGCTAGTTAATAAAAACGTGTGTACACCCAGTGTCTAATACTGGCGGTCTTTCTTGGAAAACACTACTATAATACTGGTTAGTTGACAAAGAACAAAGAAACTACAGACTTAAGTTTCAAATAAAACCAATTTCCTGCAGAAAGTGTGCAGATAAATTTGCAGGACAATCACAGAGCTATACAAAGCCTACCGTTTTCTGTAAAAATGGAAATAGTTCATTAGATTTTGATTTTTGGTATGCACATGCAGATATTTTGGATCATGTTGTTGCTAAAGGACAGGTCATGGGGTAAGAAACAACATCTTGGGATCATGAATACAATACGACAATCTGGTCAGTAGTAGTATTGGATATTTTGCTCTGAACCAAAGAGTCGAACAGGTGGACAGAGGAAAAAAGGGTATATAAACCACATTTAAGACTTTAAAATAACATTTCAATCATTACTGTACCCTACTATGTTGAGCTACAGGTCAGGCAGGGAGCAGAAGGTAAAAGAGATGCAGTGCTTACCATTAACAATAACCTTGATCATCCTGAAGTCAATTTCTCCCCTGGCCATGACACGAGCCTCACAGTTGTACATGCCCTCATCGGTCTTCTTCATACTGCGGATCTGCAGGTGGCCATTATCCATGATCTTGAATCGCACTTAAACATAAAAGGCAACATAGAACAGCAATTTATCAGATATTAGAATTATCTTGATGCAATAAAACAGTAAACTTTACTAAATTTAAAGCATTTTTGTCTGCTTTAGTATTGATTCGTAACATTTTGAAAGAATATGTTCAGTGCTTGACCTCAAGGCAAATGATGTATTTCCCTTCATTTCTTGTCATTGGAGGGCCATATTTACAATACTTTAATACTGTCTAAGAAATCCAAGATCTTAGAAAAAGCCAATAAGTGTGACATCAAGTATGATTATTTCCTTCAATCTTGACAATCTGATTGTACACATAAAATCAAGTAAAGGTTTAAAAGGAGCATTTAAAACCGGAAATACTCAGACAGGAAGTTGGAGCCAGATTAAAATGTCCCAATTATCCCCGGTAATCAAGCAATCAATCAAGTGATTGGAAGAACACAGAATGCCCTGCATGACAATTTGCCTACACCAGAATATTTCAGCAATGTTTTACAACCATCACAGAGCCTGACAAACTGTTGCGCCTGAAATTTAACCAGACATAACCTTAACCAGGTGTTGTTTCTCACACTTTTTTGGGGGAAAGCCATTAATAAAAATCCAGGGCTCTGACCACATCTGAAGTAGCAGAGTCATTTTAGCTGTTTGTTCTCAATACATCCACATTTGGAAAACTCACATACTTCTACAAATTTTGTAACTAGCCAGTGTGTCCTTTAAACCTCACTGGATTAAAAATTGGGGCTATTTAGGGTGTAACTATTAAGTGTGACTTTCACAGGACAATTGATTCCTCCTTTGGGGAACGAGAACTCCTCTGCAGGAGCCCAATGCCTCCAGTCCAATTTCCATGCTAATGAGCGGGTATGAGATTTTGATTTCTTCGCTTCTTTAATAGATGCCTACTGTGTAAACTAAAGAAAGCATGTTTGCTATAAAAACCTGATGCATATAATTATGTATTATGTAATTATGAGTGCTAGAAGGGATGTTGGTTTGGGATAAAGTGTAATTTTTCTTCCCATTCTTTTGAGATTTGTGCACATTTAACAATCCCTCCTCATCTATGATCACCATTAGCTCCCTGCCAGTCATGCAGGGTAACTAAGTACTTTTACTGTACCTAAATGCAATCATAAGGTTTACCCAAGTATTTCAATTGTATGGTAATTTTCCCTTCTACTCCAGTAAGGGAATAGGAAATACAGTACTTTTTACACAACTAGATATATTTGACAGTTATTAGTACATTTCAGATTCTATACTGGATGTGTGTGGCATGATGTCACCCACTCCCAGATCAATCTACTAAAATATTCTCCAATAACTTCTTCAAAATGTCTTTAATTCCAACAGTTTCTTAACAATCTACATAGAAAAAAGTGTCCTCTCTCTCTCCAAATGTTACTTTTTTGTAAACTGACTTAAGTTTTTTTAATAAATCACTTGAAAGGGACACCAAAATCTAATGTACTCTAATGTTATCTGAGCTCTGAAGCTCCTTGTCAAGTACAAAGATAATAGGAGTCTCAACAGCTCCTATCCTATCCTATCAGTGTCTTCGGTGAAGCTTCGTGGCCTTCAGGGCGAAAAAAGTTTCTGATGACTCATTGTTTTTGAGCTATAAGAATACTTTCAATAATACGTTTTTGCTTATAATCTGTTGTTACCTGTGGATACAAAGTGGTGCATGTTTATCTCACCTCACTGGCGGCCCCTGTCCCCAGGGGCCCCAATCACTGTAGCAACCATGACTCCGCAGCCGTTGGACAGATATGGACAAAGCTGTCTAATATCTATGATGGCTCCTCTCATGGGGCCATTTTAAATGTTTTAAATTATAATAATGCCTTGACACATGTTGTGATAATGACCAATGGACCTCTATGATACAGCTTGTTAATAATTGTACAGGTGATGTTGACACTTTACTACCTGAAGTAATAGTAGGACTAACACTGCCACAAATACTATCAACTATACTGCTTCGTGTATTCCTGGATGAAAGCTACTATTACATTCAGCGTCTGGCAACCACATAGTGCTCCCTCACATCAACTTGGCAAATACCCAAAATCAGAAAACAGGTTACTGGGATACGCACCAAGCAGCAGGCATGCTCAGAATTTCTCTGAAATGTTCTAGGTATTGGTTGATTTGCATTTTACATAAAACACCAATATTTGATCAGCTTATAAAATTTATTATATATGAAACTAATCAACATATACAGTATTTAAAAGCAGCTCCAACAGCTACAATATTTTAATGCTACATATTCAGTATGTTAAAGCATCAGTCACAAGGGCACATTCTGCATTATGAATACCTTCACTCCCATACTGATACCTTCTTTGGTTTAGTTGAATTTTGAATGATTTTTACTTGTAGTCTAGTATTTGAACACTATGGTGTTTAAACTTTAACTTATGTTAAAAAATGTAACACATCTTCCACTGATTTCCATAATATAGTTGACTGTTGTCTGCTTCCTGTCTGCATGTAAGTAAGTAAAATATCCTCCATGTACAGAATTGTGAACTGAAATATATAGCAAGTGTAAAGGTAATGTCAAGGGCTTAGTGTGTGATTTAAACTATTATGAACTATTTAACTACTATTAAATAAGCTTTATATTTTTTAACCAGCTCTATTCATGTTACATTGACCTACATATTACAATGACTGTTCTGGGGGTCGAGGTTTAACAATGCAACATGGTTAGGTCAACTGCTGCTCTGAGGAAAATTACATAAGCAGTTTTCAGTTTTCAGTGTCGGTTACAATTAGTGGTTTTTCCAGTGAAAAACACATTCCTTGACCAGACTCCAAGAATAAAGGCGGGCTTAGCACAACACTGTGGTGACTCCAGGTTCTCCAGCGGTCACCAAAAGAGGGGTTACTTTAAGGTTAAAATAGGCCCAATCCAAGCGTGAAACAAAACCCAGTCTCCTGCCTCATCTCCACCTCAGTCCTCACACAGCAGGTTTTAGTGGAACGCTGTAAAGTAGAGCTGCTCTGGGCTGTTGTTGTCAGTGCTACCTGTTGCCTGAAGTTGCCAAACAAAAATTGAAGATGAATACATCTGCAACACCATTTAGGCCCTCCTCATTTTATTGACAGAAGGGGCTGAAGGCTAAAAGCTCCTTTACAGAGGAGCTGTAGTCAGTTTGGATTCACAGCAGTCACAATGGTTTTCAATGTTGACCTAGAGCCAAAACCAAAACATTTTAAAATGTCCATAGAAACTTTTTAATACACTTCTGCAGCACCAATCATTTCTACCGGGTTTATTTGTATGTTAAGTAGTTTTAAAAAAACCCTGTAGTTTCTCCACAACAGAGATATGTATCTTAGTTCTGCTAGTTACTTGTTGTCTTAGTTTCCATGGACCTTTTGATGTTATTCTTTTGTTCTGTTTTGTTTTTGTTTTTTTCCACTATGACTGTGACTCACCATTGGAATCCATGGTAACAACTGCAAATTGAAGCTGATAACTTCTGTCCTCTGTTGTCATGGAGCAAGCTACAAACTTTCCAAAACCTCCTTTCAAGCATAAAGACAGTGAGTATTTCATATACACAAAAGACAGATTTTCACTATAGTGTACCTATAAATATATATAGTACAGTTAAACAATGAGCAAACTATGATGAGGACAGGACTACACACAACTGTGAACTGTCAAAATGACTCCTAAAACCCTAATTTCTATTTCTACATGTGTTCATGACACATGACATCAAAGGAAATCTGGTACAAATATATACTAAGAAAATATAAAATGACAAAATGATTGTTGTTCATCATTGTTAGCTCTTCTCTTACCCTTCCACTTATCTCTTTTTTTCCCTTCAGTTTTTCAGATTATTTCAGCTTCCAGAATAGTTCTCCCTCTATTTGGGGAACTTAAAGTCCAATCTGCCCTCAGACATCTTTTCTAGTGAGAATGACCACTTCTTGCTGGGCCAAAAAATACAATTTCCATGTTCATGCATCATCTATGAAGTCTAAACCTTCGCCACTGAAAATGCGTTGCTTTGTTCATAGATGATGGACAGGAGGTGAAGGAGTTGAGGAAGAGTGTGCCAAATTGATTAGAAAGCATGAATTGCCAGACAGCATTGACAGGAAGGTAAGGGGACTGCTCAGGGAGTGAGTGGGCTGAGATGGGATGGGGAAGGGCTGGAATTGAAGAAGTAGCTCAAGCATTGGAACATTTTTATTAGGACTGGCTCACCATCTTTAGAAACCTGGATCTTGGAGCCCTTATGTTTCCAAATGATGGTGGGTGGTGGTGAACTGACCACATCGCAGACTATATCAGCATCATCACCTTCATTGAACTCCTGCGGGCTGGGGGCACTCTGGAAGGTTATCTTTTCTGTAGAGAGATGTGATAACCATTAAATATCTTAACGTTCAGACTCCTAAAGGTGAAAACTCTCATGTGGCATATTTACATTGCTTAAAAATCTTGCAATTTAACAGCAGTGTAACAAGGCACCATATGGTTGAGGTTCTGCTGCTCTAAGTTCAAAGACTCTCAGTCTGCATTCAGACAGACATCAGGACTGCGTTAAAAAAAAGCGCCTTCAGTCATTTCAATGGGACCACTCTGTTAACATAGAGGAGGTGCCAGTGCAGAAGGCTCCAGCGAAGAATGCAGGGTTGCCAGGCAAAAAAGTTTAACCTAGCTCAACTTTCGCCACAAGGCAAACCAACGTCATTTAGTAACGCATGCACGCCCACATTCCTGGTAGATTACTTTGAAACATGAATGCATAATCGTAGCAGCCAGAGTTGTAAAATCTTTCCTTGTAGTATTACAAACTGCCGTGGCATGTTTTGGCATCTGATAAGGCTTCAAACTCGTGAATCTATGACTCAAACAGGACTTCCTGGATTAAGTTTCATTGTCGTGCTTGAAACAACACCTACCCGAGAAGAACATATCAGAGGATGTATTAATTAATAGTCTGGCGATTTTACCAAGAAGACTAAGTTGTCTTAGATGACAGAGCATAGGCCTTAGATCCCAACAATTATGGGGTCAGCAAATGTTACATTCAGTTTCTTTAAAACTAAGGCACTGTGCACAGAAGCCGTCCAATCCTGTCTCTCTTAGAATTTACATTTATATTGTACTAAATGGTTTTGCCAAAAAAAACATTCAAATGGAAATTAATAGCTGCCTGGATTATGTTGACTGCAAAAAGGTTTGCCAGTGAAAATAATCCAGGTAGCAATTGCTCGTATGACAGATATGTTCTGTCATTTAGTAGATTACAAACATAATTTCTAAGAGACAGGATAAGCTTTGCAGAAATTGCTATTTTCTTGTACTGCACAGATGGAATGATTTGTTTCCTTTCTCCATCTCCAATGTCAATTGTCTACTAAAAAGTGCCAAACAACTACACGTACTGCTGTGAAATTAGTATAAATAGAATTTATAGAGACAGAGAGAGATTGTGTTGTCATGAAGAAGACACAACTGTATTTTCAAGATTTAAAGTGGGTATGATGTGGGGTGGGGTTGCCTTGATAGACGGTTGCTGCATGCACTGCTGCTTGTCTAACCTAAGTTGCATCCAAGCTCATCCACTTTTGCCTCAATTTGAATTTATGGCGTCAAACCCCTCAGCAGCTAAAGCTCAAGCAATTATGTTGATTTTCTGCATGTAAAAATAATCAAAAACACAGACTTTAAGAAAAAGATTAGACTTACGGAAGATCTTCACTTGGACTGTGGCCTGGGCCTCCTTGTCCCCGTTCTTTGCCACACACTTGTAGATACCGGCACTGTCCACGTTTGCGTGGTATATAGTGAGGGTCGATATGGTGTCATCGGTGCGGCTCACAAAAATGTCTTGCCTGTTGGGAAGGATCTTCTCCCCACTGGGGGCGTACCAGTCTATGTCTTTAGCATCTCCCAACACTGAAAAACATAAAAATGAAGAATGAGGCATGGCAGCAAGAATTCTTAAAGGAAGTCCACAGCTGATATTTAAATGATAACCACAATATACAGGTTTGTTATTGAAAAAAGTGGAATTCTGTTATGCAGTTTTACATTTTGGTGAGTTATTTGGTATGGTATTCAGTTACATCCCTAATGTATTACATCATAGATGTGCAACTACTTTAACAAGTTTAGGCAGACTCTGTGCTCACATGATATTCTGTGAGTAAACATAAACTAGATTAATACCATAATTTCAACTTGAATATAAATAATATGTAATATTATATCATTATATCAGTATTAACTTTACAAGTATTTTCAATATCAGACTAGATATAACATATAAAATAACACAAAGAGTAGTATGAATAATTCATATGTGTTCAGTAAAACAGAGTATTGTTCAGTACTATAGAAGGAACATCAAACGTTTGTTTTATGATATGGGTGAACAGAACCTCCAGTAAGACTTTGATAATAATAACATCTTTGATGTAACAAATGTTCTAGAATGTCAAACAGATAACCTACCTCATGCAAATACCACCTGTATTTCAGGCAAGCTGACTACTGCTCATGTACACTGAACACTGAAAACACAGACAGTCTGAGACCTCTCTCTCATTATCTCTTCAGACTGCACCCCTTTCCCACCTCTTCTAAGCCCTCTTCCTTACCTGACTGTGATCTCAACTTCCCACTGCCTCCTCAGAATAAACCTCTCAATCAATTTATCCTTTGTCTTTTTTTCTTCAATGTCTTTACTGCTAAATATCTATTGAGAGTATATTCACAAGTACACAGGTCTCAGTATTTTTATTGACTTCTATCACTTTTATTAAATTATCTCAATTAAAACAGCCAATATTGTTATATGAGGTGACATTTGTATCATGGGGTGTTAAATTAGGTATGTTTGAGAAGACTCTTACCTTCGCAAAGAAAAAACTTGGACTCTCCCACACTGATCTCTCCTTGTGTTGGAGTGATTTCCACCTGGATGGTGGCTGGGTAAAGAAAAGAAAAGAAAATATGCATTAGTCTCTGGTTCAAGTGAGAGGAATGGTGACACAGAGGCAAAGCACAAAAGGGCACTGCTCAAAATCGCATTGCTTTGCCTGCTCAAAAGGAAAAGAAATACCCTCTATGAATGAAACTATGGGATGAAATTTTCATTTTTCATGCTCACTAGAGTGCAACATCTGTATGTTGAGATGGGCTGAGTCTAGATTTTCTACAATGACCTAGTTGAACTGCAAGGTTGTTAGCAAGCTCACTTATGAATAACATATTGTACATAGAAGGTATTGCTAAATGTCGGTCACCTTTGTTGTTTTATTATGTGAAAATATGGCAACTGTTTTGTGTGCTCAAATAGTTTGCTAAGCTATGGTCAACTGATTTTATCACCATTGTTAGCTGTCTAGCTAAGAAAATGTTCACTATCAAAAAAAGGCTGGTCAAAAAACAGATGATGGCATTCCATGGCCTCGTGATTCACTTAGAAGAAGCTATACCTTTATCTACCAACACTTCTGAGGTGTAAATTGTTAATGAATATTGTACCCGTGACCCTGTGAATTAAGTGTCTGACACTTTGACAAATTTGACAAAGAGGAAGGTGCAGCACAGAAGGTTGTGTGGCAAACAGTGTTGGGCAGTAACGCGTTATTAGTAATGCTACTAGTAACGCGTTACTGTAATAATATTACTTTTCCCAGAAACTAAGTAGTGTTACTAATTACTTTTCTAAAACAGTAATATTATTACAGTTACTAAGGCAAGTAACCCTGCGTTACACGTTACTGAATGCACCATCTTTGACGTGAATCCACGACAGCGGTACCCGACTTTGTTGTTCAGAAAGGAGAACTACGAATAGGTGTTCTTTCCACAGCTGTAAGTAGCTTCTGCCATTATTATGTCACAGTATAAGATGCAAAGAACATTGTCATCTAGTGTAAAGCAGCAAAAAGCTTTCAACCGCGAACATTTCTACATCTGATTTATTGAAGCATCTGCTAAAGCAGCACAGCAACGTGAAACTTATAGAGAGAAAGTCCAGCAGCTAATTTACTTTCAATGATGATTGGACTTGTCGGGAGAGAGTGGCCTTAACGTAACATTTTGTAACTACTGAAGACTGCTCTTATAAATAGGCTACCTGTGCAGAAATACAGCAGTTTCGATTCCAGTGCAACTTTGTGCGGGGGTCGAAGAGAAAATAATAAAGATGTCCCGTCTTGGTTCAGACGGCGGAGCCTCCGTGTTGTTATTTTGGTAACCACATAAAAAGTATAGGCGAACTGATAACCGCTCGGTTACAATAGTAATGTAACGGGTAGGCTAACGTAACTAGTTACTTTTATCACCCTGGAATAAGTAAAGTAATAATATTACTTTTTTAAGGAGTAATAACTAGTAATATATTACAATTTCTGAGTAACTTGCCCAACACTGGTGGCAAATTAAAGTGAATAATTAAGTTAAGTTTCAAATGTTATGCATTTTAAATAAGTTAGTAGGATGTTGAGTCCTCGACAGCAATCTTATCCACATTCAGTAACACTATCCAAAGACCAGTGTTGGGCAGTAGCGTCGCTACAAGTAGCGCTGTTACTAGTTTAACTACATTTCTCAGTAGCTTGGTGGTAGTGTCGCTATTTTCAGAATCAAATAGCTTTTCAGTAAGGAAGCTCGGTAGCTTCCACACACGCTACATTTTCTCAAGCATTTCTGAAGGATCAGTAAGTGACGCCACCGCCACACACGGACCTGTATGTGCAGCCGGCAGAAGGAAAAGGGTCCAGCTGCGGACTATAGCTTAGGCGGCGTGGCGTGAGCGCGGGTCTCTGTGTAGGTCAAAGTTCATCAGACTATAGAAGGCGGGATTTGAAGAATAAGATGGTAACATTTTAAGTAATGGCGCAGCAGAAGCAGCAGGTAGGTAATAACAGCTCAGTGCAGCAAAATTTGAATCTATGATGTTAATGGACAAATAAGTTTAAAAAAGTTATTAATTTCAGTTTTTTAATGTTGTTAACCTAAATAATGATATAATCTTTAGTTTTATATTTTTATTAAGATCCTTACCTACATTTTTTATTGTTCTGTGTTTTCTTTTAAATCTTATTTTATTGTATTGTGGTATTTTATTCTTTTTTATTCATTTTATATGTAACACTTGTGGTCATCCTCAATAAACATATGTACCTATCTTGCTGGTTGTGTTATTGTCTTTGGTTTTCTATTTGTGCCATGCAACGGGACTGCCTTTAATATCCAGCTTCCACTGGTGTGGAAACATGCATATCAAGATTAGAGTTCAACTTCCCTATGTGTTTGTATAATATTGTGTAGTACATAAAGTTTTTCTTTAAATCACGGGCTTCTTTCAACTCAGAACTACAATTCTGTGTAGTGAAGCTTCATTTAATGGAGAGTAGCTAGTAGCTTAGCTCACTACATTTTCCAAGTAGCTTGCCCAACACGGCCAAAGACATATTTTAAGTGTTTATATAAACCACCTGACTGAGTGATTCCAGGGTACTCTCGTTCTCATTTTGCACATCCTTGCTTCTCCTGGCAGATGATTTAGAAGGCATAATGCTGTAAATCAAAGAATATCCTTTTCCTGAGACTCTAATGCACTTCATCTCTCAGCATCAGCTAAAGCTACAGTGACACAGATGAGATTTAGAAAGAGTGCAGAGAAACACCTGGTGTTTGTTCCTTCTTGCATATTCAATGAAAAGTGATAAAATGTGTAATAATTTTCAATGGCTTAATCAGGAAATCATCCCTTGTATGTGTGCACCAGAATGACAAGAACCATGATGATTTTTAAATGTGACATGGTTTAATTTAAGACTCCTATCTTCAGTGAAGTGTGGCATGGGAGTGAAGCACAGACTGCAAAGCAGAAACACCACTGAATCGTGATCCGGAGCTCGACAGAGAAATCCCGCTGAGCCTTCAGCATGTCGCCACTTCACACAAATGAGTGAGTCAGCCTCAGCCCAGTTCTCACCAGGAGATTCATGGGAAAGGTTTGCAAGGACTCTGCATTCAAAGACAGGTAGCTAACTATCATCACAGCACAATGAGATGTTTCATATTGAGACAAGCTTTTAGGTATAGAAACACATCCGTGACTAAGAAGAGACACAGCAGTGGCCTTTGTTGTTCTTTTTCCCCCTACACACTCCTTTATGTGAAAAGCATCCTCATTATGACAAGGCCAGCATTTAGAACTGCGTAAATGTACACAATAAGCTTTTGTGTTTGGAAGCGTTTAGAGTGTCACCATGTTTAGTTGTGTTTTTGTTTGGCAAATTGGAAGCTCTCGAGGAAGATATTCTGTCAGCAGGGATGATTCCGTCTTCCCCTTGTTGACATACACAAAAAGTATCTGGGCACGTAAGCATCGCAATGTCCAAGAGCAGGTACACAAGTGATATACTGTAAGTTATGGTGTATGTGATGGTATAACAGTGTCACACTACTTCCACCTTTCATTATGAGAGAAGACAACTACAACAGGTCAATTGCCAAGAAAGTAGTTAGTAATTCTGTAATTTTCCTGATCAAGAATAGTCTCAAATATTGATTTCATTAACCTTTCCAAGCTGAAATTAATATCTCCCTTCTGACTTAGTCAAGAAATTGTACAAATATTGATTTGCAGTAAAACACTAACTCTGCCACATAAATGGGCTTTGTTCCAGGCTAGCATACAGGCTCTAGAGACATGGAAAACCACTGCCCACAGTATGTTTGCTTTTACAGGCTGGAGGTAGATACAAAGAACACAACATATCCATTTCCTTCCCTCATCTAGTAAGATCACAGATACCATGCTGCAAACCCAAGCCATGCCTCCCTAAGACTAAGACAACTAGCCAAAAATCAACTGATCATATCTGCAACACTAAAGACAACAAAAAGGAGTTCAGGCGGTGTGGGAAAGATAGCTATTCCCAGAGCCATTTTCTCAGTGTATGTCTCTAAATGGCCACTTGTGCAGTATCTCCAGAATAAAGTGTTTGTTGAGTCTTATGTGTCAAGCAAAAGTGTGTTTCTGCTGAGAGCATATTGTGAGCAGTAAAATCATGGTGTAAAACTGAGAGTTGGCAGGTTTTATTAATTAACAAATCCAAAACACTTTCCTTGTTTTTCATCTGAACCAGGATTTTTTCAAATAATACTTGGATGGGTAGCCTTTCTGCGCTTTCCATTGTTGTTTAAACAACACTCTTAACAAAAACATTCTCACTTATCACATGTGTATGTGTCAGGGAGTGAAATTATTTTGTCATAACTTATCTTCTTACCAATATGGTAAAAGACTGTGCTGGCGTTTACAATGCATCATAGATGTACATGTACATTCATGTTTCTGATTTTTTTACAACTTGATTTTGGTGCCAATTTGCCAATAAGTTACAAAATATATGTGACAAGTACAAAATAATCTCATATTCACAGTCATCTGGGAGACACCCTATTGTGAAGACATATATCTATCCTCTGCAGTGTGTAGAGTTCTATTTCATTTCCCAGAGATGGACTTAGGATCAATTATTTTATGTGTATGTATGGATAGGTATTATGTTTCAAAGTTTTCATCAGAGCACTGAAATTAAGAAAACTTGACCAAAGGAAAGGATCGAAATAAGTGCTTGGCATAGTGAGGAGAGAGCTTGGATAACGGATGAATTTATCTGTGCCCTGACATGTATACTCATGACACCAATATAATATCCGCCCCTCACTTTCAGTCGTCTCCAAAGACTTATAAACCTCTCTGTCTACTGAGTGCTTCTTTACTTCTCATTCCACCACTTAGTTACCTACAGTCACAGCACTCTGCTCTTTGACACAGCAATTCTATAATTCAGATCAGCATATTTTCAACAGAGTTCAATTTAATTTTGGGGTACGTGGAAAGGAAAAATCTGTAATCACTGTAGACTTCAGAAAAAAACACACCTCTTTTTTAACCGCT